AAATGCCACACAGCCAGGACAAATAACGTAATTAATTATTAAATTTTGTGCTAAAAACTTTTGTGTGGGGGCGAAAAGTAGCAAAGTCAGGCAACCGCACGGAGCGCACAAAACTACGCTGGACACGGGAATGTTCCTGCCAATGGACGGAATGTCCTTGATGGTGGTGGCGCGATGCGATGCGATGCAATGTAAGCCATAAAATATGGCGCTCACCCGCACCCGCACCCGAAACCGAAGCCCACAGGACATGGCATATATATTGGGGCGTACAAGTGTTGGGCACTGCGTCCATCGTACGTTTTATGGCCCTTGTTTTGGGCCCTTTTAATTGCCGCAGTTACAAGCGTCCGAACAACAACGTGTTTCCCTCTACCCCTCGACTATGCTGTTGCACTAACTCTGATTCAGCTAACTGAATAAATTGCCAAATGTGGCTGACAGTTCGCAGGATTCCCATGCCGTCCCTCTCTGACATCCCAAAAACTGGGTAAATATTTGTTTTGCGGTCCTGCAGCTGCCAATTTGCAGTTACAGTGACGGTTCCGAAATTAGCAGTTACAGGATATTCAGGATTTCCCAGCAACCAGAAGCTTTAGTGGTGTCTAACTAGCAAGCTCAGATTTAACTACACTCCTTAGGGGTGTGACTAAAATGATCGAAAATATGGGATTACAGTCATTTTAATTAATTGCAAATTAGTTTAAAATTATATGTTTCAAGTTAATTAATGTTTCCTGACCAAGCTGTAGAGTTTGACTCATTTCTTTATACTAAAAACTCTCTTCTACGGATACTATTTGAAGAGTAGAGATTGGCAAGATTCCACAATAATTATTGGATTAAGTTAATAATCAATCAACCAAAGCAGTAATTGTGTAAAATGTACTGAGACTCCCTAGATCTGACCCTCGACATAATCGAAAGGCTATTGCATTAATGTCAAGTGGATGAAAAATTCTTCGTGCCTTGGGCACTTTGGAAAATATCCGATTAATTTTAGTAAGCTAATTTCACACCATGGCCCGAAGACGGAAACACTGCTCCGCCTTGCTGCCGTCGCCTCTGATTTATGTCACTTCATGGTGGGGTCGCCCACGGCTGATATCTTGATTACAAGTGGAAATATGTGTCCCTGCTCTCACCCCTTTACGCTCTGCAATTTTCCCCCCTGAGTTTCCGAGTTGGAGAGGAAAAATGCCCGCAGTGACGTTGTCGTCGACGTTGCGAAAATTTTTAATTTTAAGCATCCATTAAAAATGTGCAATTGTGTGGGGGTGTGTGAGGGGAAAAAGGGCTGCCTGAGGGGGTGTTGGTTTTCCTCTAGCACTTTTTGTGTTCTCGTAAAAGTTCAGTTGAGTTCAAATCCAACAAGCTGGAAACTATCAAGCAAGCTAAGAGTGCACCACCTGTCGTACAATTAATTGGCATGCTTTTTGTTCTATAAGCACAGAGATTCATGAATGTTTCTGAATAAAAAGGAAGGTGTTTCTGGTGCTGGTGTGAATGCCCCCTGTTTCATGACAGATCTTTTCACCTGCATAATTATGACATATTTTATACTCAGGCAAAAACACATTTAATTTACTTTCGTTCATTGTTTTTTAATTAAAGAGTCCTTTGCTTTTCTGTTCTTTAAACTTGGACAACAAATGGATTACCCGCAGTTGGTATATAAACATTGTTAAAGTCTTGATATTATAAATTCAAAGTAAATAATATAGAATGGTTTCTTGTCTTTAAATTAGATAGAGAATTTTCAGATACAATGTCAAAAAAAGAAAAAAAAAAAAATACAACTTGTTCAATAAGAAGTCACCTCAATCTTTTGTTTCTGATCGTAAGAGATATTCAAGTTTAACTTAAATATAACATATCAAAAAAAAAACATCATAAGTGCGCTTGGAAAACTCAATTTTTATTTCCTATTTTTGAATTTTCCACTAAACAAAGGGCGGCTTTCTTTCTTGTTCCCAAATAGCACCGAGTGGACTACATCCAGATCCACTTGGACGTCGGACGATTGGGTATTGATGAGTACACAATGCATCGGCTGACCATCAAAGTTGCGACGATGATGCTTGCTCACGGCCTTTTTAGCATCCTCCAGGGACTTGTAGATAACTTCGGCAGTGCCGGGACGAATCACTTTGGCTTGCTCCAACGGCCCAATTTCAGAGAAGACCTCGTGAATATCAGAAGTGGTCACGTATGGATCCAGATTGCTGACCAGCAGGCGAAAACCCAGTTTATTCATTGACTGGCGGCGACTATCAATAGGATTGTCATCAGTGGGTTTCAGAATTTTTAGTGGCCCGTGATCCTTGCGATATTGTGCCTTCTTCGGAGGAGAAGGAGAAGCAGGGGACTTTGTCGAGTCGTCATCCGTGTCCAAATTGATGAAGATTGTTGGTGATTGTGGTTTCTTCTTCTTCCTTTTTACGCCCGATTGGAGGGCACGAATGACCTCCTCATCCTCCAGTTCCTGCATATTGTCCAGGTCAACATAGCTACTGTGGTATTTATACGGGCGACGCGGGAGCCACGAAGTGTCGGCTTCCCAAGCAGCCTTATATTTTCCCCTGTTCATGGTGCGGCTCCTGCCATAATACTTCTGTCGCTGCGGTGCAGGCCTCCATTTGATACTCCTGGCTTCTTTTACCGATGACGACGAGGACGACGACGACAGTCGCCGCTTCCTCTGGTTAGGGGGCTGGGAGCGTCGTTTCTTTTTCGCGGTGTTTTCTGGTTGTTCCTATTACGGTGATCAATGTAGTCTGCCGACTTGTTGGTGACATCGCGAGCAAAGTCCGGATCGCGCCTTCTACGCAGCTCAATGATCTCGTCCAGACTCAAATTTTCGTCCATTATTACAAAAAATATTTTCTAATTCAATATTTTGACGCCGATGGAGGACAGGAAATAAAGCATGGCAATCGAAGCCAAGTTAACTTTATCCGATACATCTATCGTCGATACTATCGATAGCTTGCGGTGTGGTGAATATGTATCAAGTTCCTTTCCCAGATTCCTACACAAACCCAAACTTTTGAATAGTTAATACGTAAACAAAAAAAAAAAACAAAAAAAAAAAAAAAAAAAAAAAAACACTAAATTAAGCGAATATTTATTGAAGAATTTTAGAGTATCAACTCTTTTCTTTGTATTATTCCTTAATAATGCAAATTTGCATACAATTAAGTTCTAGTAAAGAAGCATATATGTATGAATCTTCATTAAATATAACAATTCCATGTACGATTTTTAGCAACAATGTACATACATATGTATTTACGTATATTTTCATTCTATTTACTAAAATAGAAATGTTGAAACATTTCCACCAACTTGCTTTATTAACCGTTTTTACCTCTTTCCCCTTAAGCACCAATCTGGCCTAAACCAACTTTTGTTTTAGCAACCGCTTTAATTACCAGAATAACAAAGCCAAAAAATAAAGTTGGGAAAAGGCTACAAATAAAAAGGAAAGAGAAAAACAAAACAGACTGCAGAGGAATGATAATAGACGGCAGAATGATTATTGTTTGTTTCCCCCATTTGATTTTCACTGCCGCAAAAAAAAGGACGAAACTTTTCCCCTTTGCCTGGCAATGCAGTTCTAGTCCTGTAATCCGCTGCCGGTGGAAATTCCAGCGGAAATACCTTCCGATGGCGAGGACTAATTGGAAAGGAAGGCTGGTTGAATGGGAAGTGGAAGCAGGACACAGGTGCAACGTGAAATGACAAAAATGGATTGACCGTGTTGACAGGGACTAACAAAAAGTTCCAGTGGCTTTTTAAGCTTCCAAAAAATATGCCTAAACCTGAGTTTGAGGCAAATTGAGCGAAATCGTTTGGAGCAAAGAAAAAAAATATGAAGAACAAAGAGATTGTTGAACAGGGGAGTTACAGAGTGAGTGCGTTCACTGAGCCGGCTAAGAGTACCGCAAGCCCCTCTATTACCATATGAATACAGAGGAAATTCAATAAACCAAACCTTAGAATAGCTATTTAACCATCTGATTAGCAAACAAAATTAATTAAATTTAAACCAGAAAGGATGATAGCGTTGGAGTACTCTTGCACTTCGCAAATGAATTATAGGATCGAATCGAGAATCGATCATACTTAAGCTTAAATAATACTTGTGGTTCAGGACTTGAAATGGAGACACCTCCACCACCTTAATCTACAAACTCATTCACGGAACACCTGTTCCACTTAGCGAAGCTTCTCTGTGCATATAATACCAGCACGTGACCATATGGTCGATTTCATGATCAGCGAGTTGATCGCAATTATTTCTGCTAGACCAAACACAGACAGAGGCAGAGACACAACAAAAATACAGAGAGAAAGAGAACGGAAGAGGCGTTTAGAGAGAGCGACTGGCCGGCCAACAGGTGAGCGAGTTAATTTGCCAGCAAGACAAATTGATGGCGATTGTGGAAAGGTTTTCTTTGTGTGTGCTCTCACAGGTAAAATAGTGCTGGTCAGTGTGTGTGTGCTAGTTGGGCGAGCAGATAAGCGGCGACTGCTTGGAATCGGATCAGAAACGTAACCACAGTAAAGTCTAGTTGGGAAGGTATTAACGAATCGATCCAGCCAAAGTTAAGAAGAAATCGAAGAATGAAGCACCATTATCCATAAAATTAAATTATGGGTATATTCTACATATAATATTTGAACAATTTCATTTGAAAACAAATGTGATAAATATTTTGTATAAATGTAATGAGGGATATGGTTTTCTTGTGGATAAAGCCTAAGTAAGACGTTGAGTATTTTAAACATTTTAAGAGAAACTAAGCATTTAAAATAAATCTTTTAAATAAGATACTTTTTCCCGTATGAAACCACATTAAAAGCTCTACTCTCTACATGTTCCATCACAAAATCTAACAGGTGTAACCTTCACACAAACCCTATCGAATTTATGAGCTCTGCAAGTGTACAATTTGATATGGAAAAATTCTGATAAATAAATGGCTTAAACTCACCTCCTGTGTGATATCCAGTTCGTGGCGTGTGTTGTCGTAAAGTGTCTCCAGCTCCTCGCACTTGTGCTGCAGGGCGGACTTTTCCTCCAGCAGGGATAAGCCATATTGGGCGGACTGGGCGCTGGCAGAGGAGACCTGGTCAAGTTCCCGCGTCAGCCGCTCCACCTCCATGCGCAGATCCTGCAGCGTTTGGCTTTGGCCCTCCGATGAGCCACTATCCGGGGCATTGGGAGTGGACATGATGATGGATCACCTGGTGGGGAATTGGGGACTGGGAAGGGAGGATTCCGGAGGCGAATGGACGGTACAGCTGCCCGTGGGCGTGGCAGGTGTTTAACTCTCGTTGTTCCTGTTGTTTTCCTGGGCGGAATCGTGGATTTCTCCTGTGCTTAGCTTCGTAACTTCTCTGGTGTTTTAAAGTTATTTGTTTTGGAGGGAAATCGATAAAATTCCGATAAAAGTTTCTATTGTGTTTTTGTTTATGCCGCCGGACTTGGGGAGTGAGTTTTTTCTTGTTGTTGGGTGTGAAACCCCACTCAACTCCACTCGCGGTGTGGTTCGTTGGTATGCGTGCGTTTCACCTTTTCTCTTTTCAGTGTGTGTGTGTGTGTGAGTGGGTTCTCTGCTTCCCCTCCTTCTCCCGCAAAATAAAAGCGAAGCAAATGTGTGGGGCACTTAATGACCAATTATCCGTGTGCTTTTAACGGCGAATAATTCAGCACAACTGGCAATATCCAAATGCAAATACCAGCACGCGTGTTGCACTCACTCACACTCGCACTCACTCCCACACGCACAGTGGCGCTAAAAAACAGTTGGCAGCAGAAAATCAGCAGCAGCACAGGAAGTTGTTTCAATTAACTCGAAGGCAGCCAGCGAACAACACAGTCAAAATGACATCACACAATTTCCACTTTCGTGGGAGTTACTGCCCATTTCCACGGGCGCTTTCCCTCCGCTCCTTCTTTGTGAGTGTTTTCGCGTTGCACAAGTGGGGAATGCTTTGGCCTAAACGGTTTCAATTTCCGACGGAGTCCGAATTTCCAAGCAAGTGCAAAAACAAAAATTTAACGTCCGATGTTTTGTGACGGAATCTGCGGCAACAACACACAAAAACAGTGTGGCTGCTTCTCGTTTTCCATTTATTAACGAAAATTACCCGGAAAATGGTCGTGTCATTTGGTCACATTTAAATCAAAAACGTAAGCAAACAAAAACGTAACCGTGTTCTACGTAAAAGAACAAAACGTGGTTTTAAGTAAATTAGGCTATTATAAATTATCTTTGGCAATGTTTGTGAACAAATTTAGTTAACCGTCAAACACATTATTGGAATTCGCCAAAACTCCCGAAAATTAACTATAAGAAAATATGCGAAACCTTGCTACTAAGTTAATACACTCTTAAAACATACGCTTTTTGCCACATCTATTTCAAACAATTTATTTTGGCACAATTTTTAAAGAAGTTTAAAATCTTTCGTAGCTTTTCTTATATAGTATTAACCAAATATTCTGTATTTTATTTCCGAAATGCCCATAAACCTTTAATATTGGTTCAATAATATAATGAATATATAAATGAATATTTACGGCTGTCTCGAATTCGCCCAAACAAAAATAAAACTAAAGATAGCGTAGACTTGCGAGAATCAATGATTTATTACCGTAAATAACTCAATAAACGTAAAAGGCTTAATAACGCTCATAAAACAGTGCTATAGGCATTTTAAAATTGAGTCGGCAAAACTAATCGAATATTCGATAATAATGGAAATCGACGAGGAGAAACCGCATGTTGTTATTAAATATTATTTTTTAATAAATAAAAGCCTTTTAACACATTGTCCCTTCCGCAGGCTGCCATTGCGGAGAACCCCAATGAGAACGTGATACGTGAACGCAACGCGGAGATCGTCTCCGGCGGCAACGTCTTCTACAATCCTGTCCAGGAATTCAACCGGGATCTGAGCATTGCCGTCCTGAACATCTACTACCGGAGATTGGCCAAGGAAAGAAGCGAAAAGGCTCTCAAAAAGCAGCGAAAGAGGGTCAAAGAGAACGAGGCGGAGGAGAAACCCGAAACTGGCGTTCCAGAAGATCCCCCTGTCTATGTGGCAGGCACACGCTATGAGGATGGATTGCGGATCCTGGAGGCTCTGGCGGCCACCGGTCTGCGAAGCATCCGCTACGCCCAGGAGATCGCTGGTGTCCGCCAGATCGTAGCCAACGATTTGTCCCGCCAGGCGGTGGCGTCCATCAACACGAATGTGCGGCACAATAAGGTTGAGGAGCTAATCGAGGCCAGCCACGCGGATGCCATGTAAGTGTTGAAATACTATCCAATAAATGTTAGTTAACAACTATATCCTATAGGACTGTTATGTACCTTTCGACTGCCCCCGAGAAGCGCTTCGATGCCGTAGACCTGGATCCGTATGGTTGTCCGAATCGCTTTTTAGATGGCGCTATGCAGTGCCTTGTGGACGGCGGCCTGCTGCTGGTGACCGCCACCGATATGGCCGTGCTGGCCGGCAATGCTCCGGAAGCGTGCTATGTGAAGTATGGGTCGGTGCCGCTGCGCATGAAGTGCTGTCATGAGATGGCATTGCGCATACTGCTGCACTGCATCGAAAGCCATGCGAATAGGCATGGCAAGTACATCGAGCCGCTGCTAAGCATTTCGGCGGACTTCTACATTCGCATCTTTGTTCGAGTGTACGTTGGACAGGCTCAGTGCAAGCTCTCGATGAGCAAGCAGTCGTGGATGTACCAGTGCACCGGCTGCGAAACCTTCACTCTGCAACCTCTGGGCATAACCAAGCCCAATCCCACTACGGGGAATCCGCAGCAGCTGAAATTTGGCATACCCACTGGTCCGGCGGTCAACTCGCAGTGCGAGCACTGCGGCCACAGGCACCACTTAGGAGGGCCCATCTGGTCAGCGCCACTGCACAACCCGGAATTCGTTCAGGATCTTCTAAAGGCAGTACAGGAACCACCGCTTGAATCCCTAGGCACCCAGCGGCGGATCGTGGGAGTGCTGTCCATGGTACAGGAGGAGTTGCAGAACGTCCCGCTTTACTACACACCGGACAAGCTCTGTTGCGTGCTCAAGCTGGAGATTGTGCCCATGCTGAAGTTCCGCTCCGCCATTCTGCACGCTGGCTACCGGGTCTCCTACTCGCATGCCTCAAAGAACTCCTTGAAGACGGACGCTCCGCCAGCCGTGCTGTGGGATATCCTGCGTAGCTGGAGCAAGCGGCACCCGGTTAATCCAGACCGCATGATTCCTGGCACTCCATTACAGGCCATACTGTCGAAGCCTTGCACCAAGGACTACGAGTTTGATGAACTCCACCCGGCCGCTAATCCGAAGAGCCGTAAATCGGCCTTATCGCGCTTCCAGGAGAATCCAACGCCACATTGGGGACCGGGCACCAGGGCTACCATTATGTAAGCTTGGGAATCTAAATATAGTTTGTCTAACTTACTTTATCCTACCCCTTTCCAGGATTGGTGACAACAAACTGCCCAAGAGTTATCGGAACCAGAACAAGAAGCAGCGTCACAAAACGACGCAACAACAGCCGGGCAATGGAGATCAAATGGATGCCCCACCACAACCAGATGGTGAGGAACACTTGGCCAAGCAGCCAAAGCTGGAGGCGACTGCGTGACAACTGCTCCTAGCCACAAATTTATTCATGAATCCAAAATTAAAATCAACTAAAGTAAAGTAAGGCAAAAGTGTGCCTAGTAGCGGAAGAAGTTGCCGTCGGAGGTCTGTCGCGAGAACCCATTGTTGACCAACTGGTTGTGGACGCCACTGCATATCAGCTTGGTGCTGTGCGGATGAATCTTCTCCTTGCAACCACCTAGGAGTAGTGGAATAGATCGGATAATTGAATCAATTCGTGTTCATACTTATTGTTTTACTTTTAGAAGGTTTACATTAAAGTAATAATTTTGTAAATTATATAAGAACAAAGTAGCCTTACCAATGCGTAATGGATGACCCAAAGCGTCCTCCTGCATACGGCGAATCATACGTGTGTTCCGTAGCACCCGGAACGACTTGTGTTGCGCACCTATCTCCTTGGCTGCTCCAGGTGCCGACCAACTAGTAATTGCCCGGCACGTCTCCCGCTGCATCACATAGTCAACCTTATCCGGAAAGGCCTCACGGGTATGGTCGTAACGTGACTGCAACTGAAAGTCCAGCGTATCCTTTGGGATGGTTGGATTAGCACGATAGCGCTTGCTGGCACGCACAGAGTTCATAGTCTGATGGTAGAAGAGCCGCTGGTATGGCTCCAGATGGCCGTGCCAGTTGCCCGCCCGCAGATCGGGCTCTGGCATCGGTGGCTCCGGAAAGGGGCACACATAGGTGCCCTCCGTATGGAGGTCCGGCTGCCTAAGGATTCCATTCAAATACCAAGTCGTTTAAGAAGAGTATATACAGCTTACCAGGACACATTCTTAACCACAACCGTATCATACTGGATCATCTTGCTGGCCGAGAAGAACCTCCGTTCCTCGTTTATCAATCGAATTTGGTGCTGAAGTGTGTAAGGTCCGATAGGGGAATACAAACAGGTCGTGTTTGATATACAAAATATGTGTAGGACTTGACTTTGGTATCCCAGCAAATGTTTTGTCAATAAAAAACTCGCCTGCTGGGTTACGGATGTCAAGGGAAACGGACCAGGAACCGAACTAAATTAATGAAGCCCAAAATGTAATAGAAAAAGATCATATTCATAATATCCATCGGATATGCCAAAAGAGAAACCATTTCCATTATTCGTTCCACATAAAGTCAATATTTATGTTTTAATTAGAAAAAAATTAAATCTTTATTGAATTTTTCTTTTGACTGAAAGAAAGCGTGGTTAGTAGTCGAAACTCACCCTCTTTTTTTGAGACCAATTAGAAAACCCCATCGAATAGTCGCAGAACGGTGGATCCTCTCCAGCTTTAATCGCGATTGTCCTTGCCCTCCAGCTGGAAATGTTTTTTTGTTTTCTCCTAAAGTCAAAAGATACGCCACCAAGAGACAGGAAACCACCAAGAACGCCAACCAGCAACAAACGACGAGATGAGACGAGACGAGACGAGAGAAGAGGTGACGGAACACGACGGCAAACTGGAAACTACGATCAATAGCTCTGCTCCCAGAGCTCCCAAGCTCAGCTCCAACAACAGCAGCAGCGGCATCAGGAGTGTGACTGTGGCAGCGGCTAACCGGAAACGGGAAACTGCAACGGCAACAACATCGGCGGCAACAGCAACAGCAGCAGCATCAGCAACAGCAACAGCGGCTAAGCGATGTCCGCTCCCGGGTAGTTAGGAGTTGTAGCTACGATGGTGCGCGCTGCTGCTGATCCTCCCTCTCGCGATTTAACCACAATCTTATCTGAACCGCAACAACTGCCACACACCATTGCCTGCATGTATAATAATAAACGTGTGGGAGAAGCTTGTTAATAAGTTTTGTCGTTAAAAGGTACACAGAACGGAAATCGAACGGAACGAAACAAACAGAGAGCTGTCCTAATATCACTCATCCCCTTCTTCATTCTTTCTTCTCATCTTTCTCCTTCTCCTCCTTTAGCTGTCACCTTTCTTCGATAAGTACGCCATGGTATATTGAGTTTATTGTTTTGTTTTGTTTCTGTTTTTGTTCAAGGATCGCTGCTACTAGCTACTAAGTATATCAAAAGCCTAATCTGAAAGAACATCGATGCATTGAATCGGCCATAGAATAGGGCCGGGCATCGAGTTCGAAACATAATATTTGCATGTTCTCTACTTAATTTTTTCTCTGCCGAAACTTAAAATAGTTCGCTATATATAGTTGTGTAAAGTGTAAGACTGTTCAATGGTTTGTATACCTGCTGTTCGGGTACAGCATGACACAGGATGAGAAGCCCATCGTATCCGGTTGTTGGATCGGAATCAAGAAACGGGCCTTGTCAGCGAGCCATATCTGAAGGGGGCGAAAGTTAACTAGTAATAAATATAGCCAACGTGACAGACTAAAACCCACCTCGCACTCTCCACAAGTTGGAACGTAATATTTCTGCATTTAGGAGCGGCTGCGGCTACGGGAGCCAGCCGCACCTACACCTCCTCCGGCACCTCCTATCCCATTGCGGCTATCACCGCGCACCGGACTGCGCGAAAACTTGGAGCGGCGCTCCGGAGAATGGCTGGTGACCGAGCGAGACCTAGAGCGCGGCGAATAGGAGCGACGACGTGGACTGCGTGAACGACGGCGGCTCATCGGAGAGCGGGAGCGAGAGCGGCGACGTGCTCCGCCTCCAGATCCTCCACCGCCAGCACCTCCTCCACCACGACGGCTGCCGGTGCTGCGTGTGGGCGACGACGGGCGGCCATAACGGGCCATCTGCACACGGAGCTCCCTGCCGTCCAACATGCGACCATCCATGGCGTCGAGTGCGTCCTCGGCATCGCGTTTGTCATAGAAGCTGAAAAAAGAGGAATTGTAAGGCTTTACAAAGAGGAAAATAAGTAAACGTAGGATCCTAAATTACTATAAATTCAATTGTAGGGTTTCACAGTATGTTGGCTAGCAGGGTTTTGGTAGGCAACAGTTGCAAGTGAACACAGTCACTCTGGCATCGTTTTGCTAGGAATATACACAGACTACAAGCTGATATATATTCAAGGAGTGCAAATAATGCGAATCTAACACCTGGGGCGGTTAATTTCGTTTGATTTGTTATCATTGTTATTATATTAGGTTATTTTTACAATTATCTGTCGTATTCTCAGTATGTTGGCTAGTACAGGTTGAGTAGGCAACAGTTGCAAGTGAACACAGTCGCTCTGGCGCATTTTTGCTAAACAAAACGTACAGATTGATAGCTGAAACATTTTCGATAGTCAGCAAATAACGTGCGCATGGAATAATAAAGCATTACATATGATAATATCCCTATACAATATTATTAACTTGAATTTAATCATGGTATTGTCGTATTCTCAGTATGTTGGCTAGTAAAGGTTGAGTAGGCAACAGTTGCAAGTGAACACATTTAATCTGGCACCCGTCTTGCTGAGGAAAATGTTCAGAGATTGAGCTAAACACCTTCAAAATAAGCAAAAAGTGCAGATTTAATAACAGTATAAAAGAAAAACGTGAAAAATTGAAGATGGAGAAAGGTGCTTTGAATATTGTGCAGTTGTTTTTACACATTTACCAAGTTATCTCTCAGAATAATTCTCAGAATCCCCCTTCCCGAAACTTACCGCACGAAGGCGAATCCTCGACTCTCACGTGTGTAGCGATCCCGCGGTATGTAGATGTCACCAACCTCGCCGCAGCGCTCGAACACGCGACGCAGATCCTCCGGTGTGGTGCGGTATGTGAGATTGTCGACCTGCCGGATATAGATAGATATTTTTAAACCCTGATATTTGCTTGCATGCCGGAAAAAATAGGTTATCTAACAACGTCGCCAGCCGGTCGCCATTTTGGAAGCCGTTCCCACACTTTTTTTCTGCTCGGTACTTGCCTTCAGCGACACCATGCCGTCGATCCTGGGGGGCGGCCGAGCTCCGCCCAAGCCCCCGCCACTGCCACCGTTGCTCATATCAATCGTGAAATCTTTTTACAACTCGAAATACACGAGTTGCTAATTCAAGTAAGTTCTTTCTTTTTCTTCTCCTAAACGGCGTCTGACACGTATAGTGGTGGCAAAACTTAAAGCTCCTGCTGCCAGTTTAGCTATTTCTGACGTTTATGGAAAAGCTTTAGAAGTTTGCAACTAGCCACTTTATAGCCACTTTTTGTTTCGTTTTTGTCGTTTTATTTTGAAATTTTGGGTGGGTAAACGTGAAAAACGTAAGGACGCGCAACCGATCAATTTATGTATTCAAGATACAAAAGTATCTGCAGTCGAAACTAAATGAAACCCTGTTAAATCCTCTCAGTCTGTAAAATGTACCGCACTTGTCTGTTAACTCCTCTCTTTTTTTCAATTCACCCCTCAATTTTCTGTTAACCGCTCTGGTTTTTTACATTCACTAGCATTTTTCTGTTAACGTTTTGCTGGGAAACATCGGAGCACTGTTGATTCTCGATACTATCGATATTCAAAGCAAGGTTCCCATTTTTAAATATCGAGTTCCCGATAATATTGTCCACGTGTGACAACCCTGTTTCGTGGCTTGGAAAAAAATTGTAAATTTCTAAATTTAGAGGCATTCACAACGAAGCGACTCCAAACGACCGCGTGTGTGTGTGAGTGCGGGAGCAGCAAGAAGAAGAAGCAGCGCAGCAGCAAAAAAAGTGTGTCGCGTGAAAAAAGCGAGAGATTTTCAACGGTCGAAAAAGGAAAACAGCACCACAGGGAATGGCCGCGCAGGAAAACACGGAGATCAGCACAAAGTTCTCCACGCTGAACGTGAACGCTGTCGAGTTCGTGCCCAGTTTCAGCTACAGCGTGGCCGCCGCGGCAGCGACGGTGGCAGAGGCGGACGCGCCGCCTCCACCGCCACCCGTGGCCACTGATCCGGCCTCTGGATCCGGATCTGCCACACCAGCCACCACACCCGATTCCACCGGTAGCGGCGGATCCACAAATGCCCTGCCAGCAGCTGCGGCAGCAGCAGCACCTCCTCCTGCGCCGGCGGCGGCAGCGGCAGCGGTCACCTCCTCCAACTCTGCATCGCCAGCGCCGGGCTCGCCAGCAGCAACGGCGGCAGCGACGCCCGTGGAGAGCCTCAACGCAAACAATGGTAAATAGCACTCAGTCCCAAATGTATCAGGCAGCCTGACACACCCCCTCCCAATCCCCACGCCCGCCGTCCATTGAACTCTTCCTCTGTGACGTCAACAAAGCAGCGTGTTATTGTTGCTACCTGCTGGCACCCAGCGAGTGCTGGGAGGTTAGAGGTCGAAGGTCTAGAGGATGGGTGATCGGGAGGAGATGAAACAAAGCGCAGTGGCAGGCGAAAGAAAGGAATTGCTGTGTGCTTAGGTGATTATCGGCAGCACATAACCTCAATCTGCGTCGACGCAGCAGTCGGCGTAGCATGTGTTGCTCGCCCCATTCTCGCGTTCGTGTCCACATCATTCTGCAGTTAGTCTCCCGGCGACGTTGACGAGCAGCTGTTTTCACTGCCATTTTACTGCCTGTACGCTTTGTGTCCACGTTTATTTGTCCATTTGCCTCACACACACACAATTCCACTGCTTTCCCCTCATTGGTGTGTTCTTGACACGTTTGCGTTTTTGCTCGACGTTTATTGGAGCCTATGCTGCGCCCAGCTTCGGTGTGCGGACTGGACTGTTGGCGTTCAGCTGACGGTGGCTCTGGTTCACTCGCTATCGCAGCGACTCCACCGTACACAGTTGTTGGTAATGTTTTTCTGTTTGGCCCGAATGGAAGCGCTTAGTGCAGCTCGTCGGCGGTTGAAACCGCTTCAAACTTGATTCTAACGACGAAAATTGCGAAAAGAGCTTGTCGTCGATTTGGCACTGTTGGCTTTTACATTTCCGCTCGTTCGCAGCACGCTCTCCCATAGGCTCCTTGTGGATGCCAAAATATATTCTTAAATCCTAGTTAAATATCTGTAAATATGAGCACTAAGATCGTCGGGTCTCGCTATGCGTACTCCAAGAAGCCATCAAATTCCTCGTGCAGTACAAGTTAGTAGACAACTGAGCTCGGAATAAGTTCCTACGCGAGCAGTTCAAACCTCGCCAACAGTGTCCAGTAAAAGGTTCGGGATCCAGTCCACTTGACAACTACATAGCAATCTCCACCAGCACCCGAGCACGCACGTTGTCACCCGGCACGGCACACCAATCTTGTCAACCAATCTTGGCACATGACTCATCCGTCACCTAACTGCCTGGCTGGCTGGTTGTCCGGAGTCGGTAATTAGCAATTAGCATGTGGCTGTCAGGTCAAACAGAGCAAGTGCATGTGCCAGTAACTAGCTAATCCAACCTGTATAGCTCCAAGTAGTTAAAAGCAAGAACTAGAAAGGAAAATAACTTCGGGAAGCCCAAGTTTCTATACCCTTACAGTTTTCAAAAGAATCACATGATCGATTTCCAAGATCAAAACAAATCTTAAAACATACGTATTCTTTGAATCGTAATTTATCTATATTTTTTCAATTTTTCGAATGCTTAAAAATCTCATAACTATGTCAAAAAAGCATTAATTTCAAATAAGAAAGCTTTTCTATGCTAGTTTCTGTTAGGTTAATAAATCTGGATACTCAATAAAAATTTAAAAAATAGTAATTTTTATCAATTTATCAAAATTTTAACGATGTAACCCCTGCAAGGGTATAAAAACAGGTTACCCGGACGAATGATTGCAACTTGACAACTCACATAGAAATCCCACAAGGCTAATAAAGTAAAATTCGCCACAATTATTGAGTTTCGATTCAATACAAGTCGACCCAAATTTATAGCCCGAAAGCCAGATATTTGAAAAGTGGTCTATACATGTGTTACAATTATATACGTATTACAAATCTCAGGAATACATTTAACTTTCTAAATACCTACTTCTTCGAAGTGTTTTCCTGGGAATTTTTACCCTAATAATACCTCGGAAAAGTGTTATTTATGCAATAATTGTTATTATTATTACCGATCATAAGATTGTAAGATCATAAGCTATTTTGTATTCAAACAAGTAGATCAGATTTGTTGCTTTCGAATTGCTGTGATCTTCGACACTCTTTTTCTTTACACCTTCTCCAATGGCATTTACTTACGCAATCACCTTGGAACTACCAATTGTAAATATTTAAACTAAAGTCCATATATTTCCTTGTAATACAGAAACCGATCCCGCTGACAGCTGGGATGTGGAGGAAGATGCAGTGATCACACCCGAGGATGAGGAGGCAGAGGATGCCGAGTTCGCGGAGGGTGAGGCCACGCCCAAGGTGTCCAAGAAGAAGGTGGTCAAGGTGGAGGAAAACAGAAGCAAGCGAGAACATGTAAACGTTGTGTTCATCGGTCATGTTGGTAAGTTAACGCAGAATATTAATTACAAATTGTTGTTAATTGACACATTCCCCGCTCTTAGATGCTGGCAAATCAACAATTGGCGGACAGATCATGTCTCTCACCGGCATGGTGGACAAGCGAACGCTGGAGAAATACGAGAGGGAGGCTCGCGAGAAGTCTCGCGAGAGCTGGTACCTGTCCTGGGCGCTGGACACCAATCAGGAGGAACGCGACAAGGGCAAAACCGTTGAGGTAGGACGCGCCTTTTTCGAGACTGACCGCAAGCACTTTACCATCCTGGACGCGCCCGGCCACAAGAGCTTCGTGCCGAACATGATCGGAGGGGCGGCGCAGGCTGATCTCGCCGTTCTGGTCATCTCGGCGCGAAAGGGAGAGTTCGAGACGGGTTTCGATCGCGGTGGACAGACCCGCGAGCACGCCATGTTGGCCAAAACAGCAGGCGTCAAGCACCTGGTCGTGCTGGTGAACAAAATGGATGATCCCACGGTCAGTTGGGATCAGACGCGCTACAACGAATGCAAAGACAAGATACTACCATACCTCAAGAAGCTGGGCTTCAACCCGGCAAAGGACCTTACCTTTATGCCTTGCTCGGGCCTCAGCGGCTACGGCCTTAAGGACCAGATCCCGGAGACACTGTGCCCCTGGTACCGGGGGCCAGCATTCATTCCGTTCATCGACGAACTGCCCTCGCTCAACCGCAAATCGGACGGGCCTTTTATCATGCCCATTGTGGACAAGTACAAGGACATGGGCACCGTTGTGATGGGCAAGGTAGAGTCCGGAACGGCGCGAAAGGGCCAGAATTTACTGGTCATGCCCAATAGGGTAAGTTATTTGCTTTTATTTTAGTATAGTACATTTTTGGTATTAATTTGATCTCTATTTTCAGACGCAAGTGGCGGTGGATCAATTGTTCTCGGACGATTTTGAAGTCACATCTGTTGGACCTGGCGAGAATGTCAAGATCAAGCTGAAAGTGAGTACAGACCTTTATTTACCATTATCTGAATGTTTATATTTATATTTATCTCTTATTAGGGCATCGAGGAGGAGGATGTCTCGCCTGGTTTTGTGCTCTGCGATGCCACTAATCCCATTAAGACGGGAAAAATCTTTGATGCTCAGGTCGTAATCTTAGAACACAAATCAATTATCTGTGCGGGTTACTCGGCTGTTATGCATATACACTGCGCTGCCGAGGAGGTCACCGTTAAGGTAAGATTACCTAAGATTTTCAATAATTTAGGCAGAAACTAATCGCTCCTAATTGCTCTTTGGTTTAGGCCCTCATCTGTTTGGTCGACAAAAAGACTGGGGATAAATCAAAAACACGTCCACGGTTTGTTAAGCAGGATCAGGTGGCAATTATGCGCATCGAGTGCTCCGGAATGATTTGCCTTGAACAGTTTAAGCTGTTCCCTCAAATGGGCCGTTTCACGCTCCGAGATGAAAGTGAGTGTTTGCCTTGTCTTGATTAGAAATGTCTCTCAACTAAATATCACTTTACTTGCAGACAAAACCATTGCCATTGGCAAGGTGCTGAAGGTGGTCGAATAAATTAAGCCAAGCTGAATTCGAGCGCCCGCCTTTCACTGCGATTTTTTGAAATAGCATTGCACGCCCGAGGAGAGACAACAACAGCAGCCACGCCACGCTTTCTTTATATTTGACAAACTCCAACACACCCACACGCAGCACACAACACACAGTACTCTCACTTACCTATGGTTACTTTACTTTCTATCAACAATAGCTATTGATTATATATTGATTAGAGGAAACGGATCGAAGCTGAAGGCAATGTGAAGTGCATTATATAGAAGGGCAAGCGAAAAGTTAATTTACAAGTTGGACGAACCGACGGACGGACAGAACGAAGTTAAGAGATAGAAACAGAAATGCATTATATACGAAATATAAACTATATTATGTGTAAAACTAAACGGAAAGTTCGGCTGCAACCAAATGCGAAACAAGATGTACTATTTATATGAATACACGACAAAAAACCACTCAAGCATATGCGAGAGAGCGCGGTAGAGAGGAGCATTAATAGGTTCTTAATACGATTTTTGTTGGTTGAGGAGGCCCCACACTCAAGGATATTGAGCGATTTATTTTGGTTTACTACCTTTTTGTATAAACTTTAAGCATAAAATTAAATAGCGTACACACAAACATGCCTAAATCGCGCGTAGAGTCGTGACAATTTTTAAAAAACTAAAGCTGCAAGCTAAACCAATTTTTGTATTTGTACAAGCGAAAAAACCCAACCCTCCCTTTCCCCATTCGGCTTCCCTTGTAGCGCCTTTAAATTGCAAATGTGTTAAATATTCTGCTAAATAGTAGAATGCGATATTTTTGTATTCTTTTCTTTTTTTAAACGAAATAATATAAATGCTTTAATTTAAGTTTAAGCTTAAAATTCACGGATTAAAAGTTGCTTTTGATTGCAAGTTGTTTGGAAAAATGTAACAAACACACCACGACAACACACACAGCAACATTCAGCGAAAAATGTAAGCATATAATTGTTAACTTTTAATCCAAATTCGATGTTCTTTGGAAAAAATCCCCATTTCATTTGCTGCAAGAAACAAAATATCTTGCTTATTCTTATAATTTAGTTAATTGAAGAATTCGTGCGTGTCAAACGCAGGGCACGAAACCCATTTATGAAAGAATAAAAATGCCTTTTGCTATTAAGCAGAAACAAAAACCCAAAAGCGAACTAACATTTTTTAATTTTTCATTTTGTTTATAATCCCCCCATCATGATCCAGGACCAAGGCGGTTTCAACACATTCACAACTCCAATCATTCAGAGTTTTCCCCAACCAATTTCCTATTCCCCTATTTATTACCGATTTGTTGGCAGAAAAGTTGAAATCAAAAGTTGTTGCTTTTTAAAAGAAGACAGAGAGAGAGAGAGGTGTCAGATAAATAAGTAAATCAATAAATAATATCAATTAAACAAACACGTTGAACAGTCTCCCCTGTCTGAGTTAATTCAATTAACCGAGTAATTTAACGAGAAGGATATGAACCTGCTTTTAACGCTTTTCGCAGCAGCCTCCTACGAATCGAACTCGAAAGATACTTAATTCATATTATTGTAATAGTAAGTGCGATATAACATTGTTGACAACGCGGAAACTTATTTAAATGTTTCACACACACACCACAGCCCCCGACACTGACACTCGTACACACGCAAACACCTGACGAAAGTCAAAAACTAAGCCACTGAGGAATATATAGGAGAGATCGGAATAATAGAAATTATATAGACAAACCGGGAATATTTATACAAAAAAAATAAAATAAAACGAAATTTCAATGTATTATTATTATACATATACGTATGAAATGAAATCAAGAAAACCATAAAAAAGGATTCGCATAAATTTGAACATTTTTTATCAATAAAAGTGAGAAGAAAAAATAAAATAAAAACAAAAAAAACTGATGAAAACCAAACGAACCAAATTCAGTATGTTAATTTATTTCATTGGGTGTATTTTCTGATATTTCCCTTTCAATTTAAATCTGGTGATTTTATGTAACATTAATAAGCTGATCTCTTTTGTTTTATATTCAAATAAATTCTTTTAATTTTGTTGTTTATTATAAAACTAGACAAGATACATAACATTAATACATCTTAGTGTATAATACAAATAATTACAAGTTGTACACTGAATACACTGAGCAAATATCCTATCGAAGAGCGGGAGGTTTGTACATATGGCTGTGTAATATTGGCATTGCCCCGATCTCTGTAATTCCGTACAGAAGCTTATACTATTGCTGAATGAAACATGAAACTACTCCTTAGAATTGAGTATCACGAATGGTATTCCTTCCCTAATAGTCCTCCTTGTCGGACTTCTTGGCCAGAAGTGGAGTAATTGGTCTGTCCTTTCGGTTGGCACGCTCCTCTTCCTTGGCCTCCTGGTCGCCATAAATGTCCAGATCGCGTCCATAATACCAAACCAGGTAGTCGAAGAACATTCCAAGGAAGGTGAGAACTGAAATAAAAATAGTTCGAAATTTTCCACACAACTTTCTTTATAGAGAAACTCACCGCAGGACAAGAAGTTCAGAGAGTATCGGAACCGCGTCTGATCATACAGCTGGCAGTTGCCATTGCCATTGCAGGTCTTGGTCCACACCAGGCAGGTGGAATCGATAAGTCGTCCAAACATAATGGGACCCGGAATCAGAGCGAACAAACTGATCATCATCAGTGCCAATCCCTGGGCAAAGGACTTGTCCTCATGAGCCACAGCACGGTAGTTGACCAGGACATTGCCCACACGACCGGACGAGCCGAACCAGTTGACCACCATCGATGTGAGGGAGAAGACCCAGAAGCTCCAGTTGCAGTTCTGGGTGCAGATACCCGGACGGAGCACTTGGTCCGGAGCTGATCTCTTGGACCTAGACAACAGCCTATCCTCGTCAAAGTCTCCCTCGGCGTTGAGCAATGGCACCCCACTCAGGAAGTAGTCCGTGGTGGTCTCCATGTCCAGATCGGGCTCTATAGTAGTGACGGGCTCCATGAGCTTCAGGAACCGCTGAGCTGCATTGGACGGCGGTGTCAAGTCGGCCAAGCAGCTGCAGTCCTCATAAACCTTGGAAGTGGTATTAAATCCCCGACAGCCGGCATGGCAGGCGGAGAAGAAGGTGGTGTCCGATGGTTCGTGGCAGACAGGTGTGTAGCTGATTCCTTCGCAGGAGCAGTTTGTATTACATGTTTTTGTAAGATTTAACCTTTAGGAAATGAAAGGATTACAGGTTTTAATATAAAGAAAGATAAGAATAAGGATTCCTTTAGAAAGTCATATGTTGGGCACTTACTCTCCCACATGGGTCATGGAGAAGGTATCCGGGCAGTAGAGGAAGGCATACGAGATCTGTCCCAAGATGTAGATGCCACCCACAATCACATTCCACATGAGCACCTTACTCACATGTGGCTTCTTCTTGGAGATGACCAGACCGGAGCCAATCAGACCCACAACCATGCCTAAAATAGAGACAGGACCAACAACCTGAAATTCAAGAATTAATTTAATTAATAACAAATGGTATTCAGCCTTCAACCGCTTCAAAAATTCTACTTACAACGGTGGCACCTTGGGCACTCTTGTGGAACTGCACCTCCATGTACTTGGTGAGGAAGGTCATGAAACCAGAGGCTCCCAGTATATAAAAGACGCCCGAGGTGATGTTAAAGATCAGTAGCTTGTTGCGCAGGAGTCGCATCAGAGCCCGAGGGAAGTCTTTCAGCTTGGGTAGCTCCGTGGTGGCTCCCGCCGCTCCAATATTGTCCAGGGCAGCATTCGAGGAGAAGCGACTGCTCAGCGACAGGTTCTCCTCGCGCTTCAGCTCCTCCTTTGTCTGACGCAGTGCCAGCGGCAAATGGGAGTTGGGTCTGCCCTGATCGCTGGCCTTGGGCAGCTGCTTGGGGAAGAGTCCGATGAGGCCTGAAAAGAGGCACATGAGAGTGCCAAGGATGACCCAACCCAGCCACCAGGCGCCCAGCCAGCGGGGATCCTTGTTGTCGATCAGCGGCGTCTTGCTGGGATCGATGAAGGTGTTCAGCGATATGAAGCCTTGGATGGGGTAGGTTGGAATTGATTAATTATATATTCATAATTTCATGAACATAACAATCTTACCAAACAGGAAACCCACGATGGGACCTATCATTCTCAGGGCCATGGCCACTGCCAACATCAGCGGAGTATTGGTCTTCTTGGTGTTGTCATCCAAGTAGGTCTGTCCCAGGGAGTAGTACATGGTGTTGCCCACACCCAGCACAAACTGGGAGAGAAAGATCAGCACCAGAGGCACATAGGTGAAGAGATCATCGCAACCCTCTTCCGTTTTGCCCACGCCGCACAGCTGCTCGGTTTGTGCAGCAGTGGTATTCTACAAGGGATTCAGGATCAAGTTGAGTAAGATTTCCACTAGAATATATAATATAATAATCACCAGTAGGGGCAGTCCCTCGCCAGAGGTGCCATTCAGCAGGCTATCCTGGTACTCTTTGGTCAACATCAGCACTTCCTGTCCAGCTCCGTAGATAACGTGCGGCAGGACGAGAATGTAGCAGGACAAGCCGCAGAAGACAATGCCCCAGGCTATCCAGCGAGGACGATTTCGCTGACCTCCGATGTAGGACAGGATGAGGGAAAGCATTATCTGCGAGATTTCATTGCCGCTAAGTATGATTCCTAAAAGTTATGATTATTTTTTAATTACAATAATAATACAATAACAGGTATATTTTACCAGTGGTCTGACTGGGAATCTTAAAGCGTTTCTCCAGCGTGGTGAGTGTGACAATGAAATACATGTAGGACATGGCCTGGATTGTGCCCAATAACCCATAGACGGCCATGAACATCTTGGTGGTGGCATATTTCTGCAGCCATTGTGGATGCCAGTTGGCCATGCCGCACATGTAGTGACCAGGCGGCGGGTTCGAGCCCCTGCGCTTCGTTTCCGGCATCTTGGATTCCTTATCTTGAAAGGTGAAGATGCTATTGTCTTGTCTGGAGTCCACAGCCAATCATCGGCGATGGCAAGCGATAAGATTGTGTCAGATAGCTGAAGGCACACTGTCTGCAAAAGGGTTTAATTGAACACTACAGTAAATCATTGGATGCACCACGAGTATGAGGAAAAGCCATCTCAATTCCCGAAATCGAATGAATTTCGCCATGCTCTCTGCTAATTGAAAATCACTCCCGTAATCGTGACTCTAGGAATCTGGAAATCTTGGGACATCGTTTAGGGCTTATAAAAGCCGTTCAATTGCGGAGATAGGGAAATTCGGAGTATTATTGATTAAGTAACGATAATGCCGCCTTCTCAAGATCACACACATTGGGTCTAGGCCGCAGCGATTAGATAAACATGTTTTGCGGCTGCCAAATATACTGCGATATCTATATGGCCATTGGGGAGCAACAATAACTGGCTATTTTAACCGCATAACGATGACCACTGGGACACATCTCTTCCTAATTGATCATTCCATGGTAAAATCATCGGAATCATTCTCTTACCTTCAAAGATATCTTATCGGAAGGTAGGGAGTTTCTGGATCAACAACTGGTAATCCATCCACCTGCTTATCATATTGATAGGTTGCTTAAAGCCAAGAAATCTGACCCAGAACAACTTTGCTCAGGCAAAAAACATTTTGGTAAACAAGGTTAAAAAATAATAATAATAATAATTCTATGGAACTCTTTTTTGATATTGTATCAGTTAGATTTCACCCCGACAAAATCAGTTTAATGAACCTACTGACTGATAGATTTCAAGCCCACAATTTTCAATTCCGTAATGTAATTCCAGGCTTATCATGTTATTGATTTGAGGCTGATTAATTACAGCATGAAACCACGTTTTGTTGTGACTCAGAAGAACTCATGGTTACCCTATAAGCTGTCTGCTTTCCATCTATTTTGATTGTGTCAAAACAACAACAAAATTCGGACATTTCGATAGTAGCCCTAGGTTTATGTTTATCACCAATCATAATTTAAAACACTGAAGTTAGTGATTAGTTAAAAAATATACAAGTTGTGAGGCTCTTCAGTTGTAAGTATGGTTGATCTGGTTGTGGAAAATAAAGGAAATAATATTCTTTATACATAACCATTAATATTGAAACTGATAACTAAAAAAAACTTTAATTATTCACTTCAATTTGTATATTTGTTATTTTCTTAAAGCTTTTATTATATTCTACTGGTCTCAAAATTTGTTTCTAATCAAATTTCCTAGTATTGATATTATGACCATCACAATAAGTATATTTTAAGATTAAGAAAAGAAAAAAAACATTTATATAATTTATCTCTTTAATAATTAGAAATAAGCTTTAATTGTACTTAAACCTAATAATTACAACTAAATAACATTTAATCATAGTGTCAGCTACATAAGCCTTTAAATGGTTCTTCGGATTTAGAAAAATGTTAAAAAGGCACTCCATTTTAAATTAATTAATGTATTCAACGAAACATATCAAATATAGGCACATTTTATAGATATTAGGCCTTATAAAGCTACAGACTTCCTTGTGACAAAATTACACCAATTTCCTATTTTTCTCCGTAATCACTTCACTTTAAATTAATTAATCAAACAAAATAATCGCAAATGAATCAATACTGCAAGCACTTCAATAGTTCTTTTAAGAAATCCCCTGATGATCGCTTATTTCTGCCTGGCAAAACTACAGCAATATCTTGCAATTGTTTGTTTTTTCACTTTATATTAAATTTATTTAAGTTCCTAACTAATTAATACCTAAAGAGAGCTCTTCAAAGCTTAGACATCTTAAGATCTCTCACCCAAGGACCTCTTATGAAACAGCTGACTGAGACTCCTTCCGCATGGCGAAACTACCCCAATGTCGATCGGCGAATGCCCAGCAAAAAACTCACAATTATTGGATTTGATTACCAGACAGGTGTACGTACGTTACTTGACTCAACTGGAGGGTTGCCGTTGCCTATATAACGCGCATATTATCGAATGCCGAATAATAGTCACACTCGTCTAGTTTGCAGCACAATCTAATCGGTGGCGGCGGCGGCACTCGTACGATTAATTCAATTGCCGTTTGCTCGAGTTCCTTTCCCAAGGAACCAGTAGGTGGGCAACCGGTCCGAATCGAGGCGCGAGCAAAACTGAGAAGTGAAATTCGAAATTCCGAGCCAGCGGCCGTGTCCGCTTGCCGCTTGCTGCTGTCCAATCGAAGCCTGATAAAGCTTTATCAGAGCCATAAAGCCTCGGTGGGAGTCGGCTATCGTTGGGATCGAAGGGAGCACTCTCTCACTCTCGCTCCTCTCCAGCGATGGCCCACGTGCCAAATTGAGTTTTGGACATCATCTCTCAAAGAACCACACCTCGCGCCTTATCGGATACCTCTTTGTTTTGCTGCCCCGCGAGTGGGATAGTACGTACGTTCGGAATCGGTATGACAATACAAAACAGAGAATAAAGGAACGCGACAATGACATTATTATTACGATCTGTGACCCCCAGCGGCCCCACCGACCCCAACCGTGTCCACCAAGCGATTAGAATTGTAAGCAAGTGAATTAGCAGAATGTGTGTGGAGAGTATGTCGCATGTGTATCAAAGAGCGTCCGCGAGGGTTGCCCTTAGAGTACGGAGGAATTCCATTCCCTCTACCGATCCGTTTTGATGTACAGATCTGGTTCGGCAGCCACCTGAACCAACTTATTCCGTCCAATGCTCGTAATGAACGACAAGCCGATACTCAGGATCGCCGTGAAGAGGAACATGACGACCAGGGTCTGGGTCAGGGTCGGTGATAAAAACTTAGAGCAACTCCAACATGGCTTCGCCTCGTACGTCAACAGCATTCCACTCTCGTCGACTGTAGAAGAAAAGGGGTCAACATTTAATATACATACATATATCCACATATCCTAAATCCTATCCTATATCATAAATTTCTGGCTGGACTCTGGTGGCTTAAAATAAGGAAAATACATAATTTATAATATTTAATTTTAAAATGTATATGATATTGTTCTTATTTTATGACTTCTTTCGGGAGAAACATTATTCATTGTTGATGATTCAATTTGTAGGTAAAAATATAGACAACATAAGGTATTACTGTATAGATATACCAATGATAAGTCAAAACGAAAAGCTGGTTCCCCAATTTCCTCATAACTCTGCCAAAAATTCATGAATCAATTCGGAAAGCTGTTCTGTGTTATTATGATTGGGATAATAAATCTGCATACTTAGTTTAGAAAATTTTTTGCCAATTTTTGACAATTTTAATGATGGTACCCCTTATGATTTTTTCAGAAAATGGACAAAATCCGAAAAATTTATTTTTCAACCAGACTTGGCTTAATCGATTCAGCTTTTGATGCTGATCAAGAATATATATGATTTATAGGGTCGGAAATGATCCTCATTTTTTAAGCTTCTGACTGAAATTATGATATCCTATTTATTTATACTATAAAAACGAAATATTCAAATACACCTCAGCAGATACTCACACGAACTGATGATATCCAAGTAAAAGTCGAACAGGCTCAGCAGCAACCTGTCTTTGGAAAAGAAGGACACATCACTGCAGCACAGACTGAAATCGGAGCTAAAATAGATAAGATCCGTCGGATAGAAGGTGGTCTCGTCGAGGATGACGCGGGTAAGGTACCAATTTCCCTTCACCGGCAACACCTCTATAATCAGTGGGCCGTTTTTCATGTCCAGTACGAGAACCAAGCCTTCGTCCAAATCAGCCAGCTTGTTGTAAATGCCCACCTGCATGCTATAGCTACTCTCTAAGAGGGTCACGTGCGTGCGGATGATCGGAGCCGCTTTCCCAGTCGATCCCTTGGTCGCTACCATGATGTGGCTAAGGCGAGGATGGCCTGCTCGCAGCGCAGGATGGTCAATCCACTTGTTCCATTGGTCCCATTGGCATGAGTGAAGCTAAGATGGGGAGCATAGTCCTTGCTAGCATCACTACGATGCCGGCGGCCAATTCTTGTTTCCGAGTTCTGATAATAATGGAATGATTTATGCGACGTAGATATGACTGTTTCTCCTCCGTGAGGGCGGTGTAAGCATGGACTACAGGACAGTTTTTCAACTGCAAGTTTGACACTCCCATGGCATAGTCTGGAAAATGTTAAGGAAAATATTTAAATATTTAAGAAGGTGTAGGTAAAGAAGGTTTCCTAATCACCATGAACTATTAGGTTGCGATCGTTGAAATTGAAAGCATGAATTTGACCCGCCTGACATGGTATCTTCATTTTCGTGGGAACTTGAGATTGGTTAATGATCATGGGCTTATGCCAGACGATTTTAGTGGTTTTCGCACTGACTTTTTGCAATGCCTTCAAGGGTTCCTCCACCTGACTGTAATAGTTCATGGGTTTCATGAGCTTCAAGTGGGAAAACACTGCGCACAGTTGATGTCCCTGGCAGAGAGCTTAAATAAAAAAAAAAATATAATAATATAATGCATAGAGTTAAGAGCACTGGATGTTTAATATAAATACCTCGGATGCGAAATACATCACAATCATGTGATCCTTTTGTATTTTCTTCATCAGTGAGTAAAAGTGTTTATTCGTAACAGAACGAAAAATTGTCCTAGCTTAGGACTGCAAAATATACCATAGCTAGGGAAAATATAATATTTTTTATAATAAAGAGTTACTCACGTCTTGATTCCCCAGATCAGAACTGGAGGCGAACTTGAAATGTGAGCGGAAACCGTAAAGATATTCAAGGTCCAAATCAGCCATAATAAGAAAAGCATTTTTAATAGTTTAAGCTCTTTAAATTATTTGATTATCAGCCTTATGTGCTTATTTAAACATCAGTCAACTGATTTTTGAAATTTACTGCTAGACTGCTTAGGTTTATCTGGATACTGTCGTATTAGTTTTGGCGAGCCATCATATATAGGAAATATGGATTTTAAATATGCGTTTATTTATAGGGATTTATTGCATATATATCACAATTGTGCAATGTTTGCTTATTTATTAACCTTCGCTTCAAAGATCGATACAGTCTTGATATAAAGATGTTTCCTGAAATCCTCAAGAACCTCTTTCCATTCTCCGAAATTCTCAAGATCTGCTCCCTTTCACAAATGTATAGCAACTTGTTGCTGCAACATGCTGCCGCGATCCAAGAGCATGCGTAAGCAGCGGCAATAAAGTTGCTATTAAAGACATGAATACCAAAGAAACAAAAAAAAGGAGAAAAATAAATAGTGATAAGATAACAGTTGGCTGCTTATCAATCCCGAGAGAGCGAGTAGAGGGGATGGTGTTCTGGCCAGGCCGAGCTCCACAGTTCTCGCTCGTTCCTCCTTTCGAATAGACGTTGGTGCGTTTGGTCTTAGCCCGGCAAAGATGCCATAGCCCCAGGGCCACTGAAAACCAATATATATATCAATAAATCAATACGACATACGAGTAAAGTGAATATAATCGAAACCCCAACCCAAATCGAATACGAATATGGCGCAAAATACCCGCAACTCCGATTTATCGCAGATAGCGGTCAATGCCAACAATATACCCGATGGTGCGTGACCCAAATCTTGACGATCATCAGCCTCGATTTCGTGCTATTAATAGTGAATTTTCTATATCACACAGATAGTGTAGATTGCGGCATCAAGGGCCTGGGCTGGTGCCGTGGACCAGGATGCCAGAAGTTCGCCCGCTTGCGTACATTTGTCCTGGTTTTGGCCATTTCCGGTACCTTCCAGGCGTGTGGAGTCCTACTTCCGGGTTTCGGCCAAACAGGCAGCACTCGAATTCGGATACAGTACATTGCTAGTCGGTGAGTAAGGCCCAAAATACTCTAAGGTTATTATCGCAAAAATAAACGAGAATGAAAATGCTAACACGGAGGGAATTTGAGGTGTTGGCCGGGTTCTACGTGGAGATTTCTGTTCAGTTATCAGTTTGCGATATAGTGTTCATGATTGTGAGTGGGTCTGGGTCTGCTCTATTTTGGTGTCAGGTATTTCTAATTGAACTGAATGAAGGTATTAATATTCAATTGTAAAGGAAATAGTTTTATAGGAATAATATGATATTTTGTACGGTTACTCCTATTTTTTAACTTCTACCAGAAATTATTGAGGAAAAGGTATATTGTTACGAAAAAAAACATTCTGAATTGTAGTTAAGGTTAATATATTTTAAATATAACTTTGTATTTATTTATTACGTGAAAGGGTGAAACAACTAATTCGTTTTAATCTTTACAATACAAATTTATCGAGCTATCTTGTGCCTATTAAATATAAGCCAATAGTTCTTATCTATAAACTATAATCTATTATTAGGCATATTACAATCAACTCCAAGAAAAGGGTATTTGATAGTTTATAAAGCAAATCATAACTGTTTTAACTTGCTTGTAATGTTATGACTGTGTGGACATTGTATGCGTCATCACCAGGCACAGGGATTCGCAATTCATAATCGTAGCAAAAGTTAATACGTATTTCCTCCTTTTTTCTCTCCCCTCCTGAAGAAATGCTCTTTCGTAAGGCAGTCCCATACCCAACGGAAGTGGTTTTCCCTCAATAAAAGTTGACAGCAGTTATAGAATGCCTTTTGTCCGTTTTTGTTGCGTTACTCATACGTCATATCGCCTGGTTAGATAAGGTTGCGAATAACAGGGGTTCACAAAACACACTAACAACAAAAAGGAAAAACACCTGCACACGCTGTAATAATACCTTTTCCATCTTTTCCTATCAAGACTGGCTGCTGGTGACCAGTGGTCTCGTCCAGGCTGTCTTTGCCCTGGCCTTTGCCTACTGGGCGGATGTCTATCATCCCATCAAATGGCTGGTTGGAACTCTGATGCTGCAGGCAGTCACCTGCGTGGTGGCCGTGATTCCCTCCATTATGAACTTGTGAGTATCAATGAAGCTGAGAAAATCAACAAGCTAATTGAATCTAAATTAATACCATTTCAGTGCAGAGGGTGCCAAACCCAAGGATGCCCTGCTGGATGCCAATTTGTGTGCCACCTCGCTGGCCCAGTTCCAGAAGCTAACGCTAACCGAGGCCCAGAGCAGCACCCTCACCCTGGCCATGCTCTTTGTACTGCAGCTGGCTCTGGGCATGGGTAGTCTGGCTTATTATACGCTGGGCGTGAGCTACATCGATGACAACTCTCTGTCACAGGACAGTCCGGCGGTGATAGCAGCCGCTCTGGCTGCCCGCGTTTTTGGCCAGCAAATGGGCTCGCTCTTGGTCCTGGGAGTCGGCTTGACCCATGTGGGCTGGTGGCTTGGCTGGGTGATCATAGCTCCCTTTATATTCGTGGGAGCCGTGATCCTGGGATTGTTCCCCAAGCGACTGCCCAAGACGGTGATCCATCAGGCCGCCCAGCGGATCATGGAACAGTCCAATATGCGAGCCTTTGGCAGTCAGTTTTCCACCTACTTGGATGACTCTGATTTCTGGCCATCGCTTAAGCGGTTGTTCAACAATCGCCTGCTCATGTTCAACCTGCTGAGCATTATGTGTGTGCAAAGTGCGGTGGTTAACTTTGGCATCCAGGAGGAGAGTTATCTGCAGAGTCGCTTCTTCCTGCCCTACAACGAGCAAGATGGCCTCACCGAGGAGTGGACCTCGGCATTTGTATCCTACTTCCTCAAGCCACCAGTTATGGCTGTTGGAATGCTTATCAGCGGACTGATTATCTCCAAGGCAAGGCTTTCCGCTCGAACCATTACTGGAATTAATATCGGCTTGAGTTTGCATTTGGTGGCCATATTCGTGGGCTTGGTCTTTGTCAAGTGCGATGTTGGTGCCATCGCTGGCATTGTGGGAGGCAAGCTGAGCCAACCCTATTGCTCCAGCCAGTGCCTGTGCACGCCCACCGCCTTCATGCCGGTCTGTCCGGAAAATGGCTCGGTTACTTACTTCTCGCCCTGCTATGCCGGCTGCTCCAAACAGACCTCGATCAACAGCTTCCAGTTGTTCGAGGGATGCAGCTGCAGCGGGGATCAGACTATGAACTCCACTGGACAGATGAGGGCAACCGCTGGAGCATGTAGTGCCGACAGCTGCCAGTCGGCCATTATCATCTTCCAGATTATGAGTATCTCGGTGGCCTTCCTTATGGGCATTGGAGCCATTGGCAAGACGTTGATTACATTGAGAGCTGTCCTGCCACAGGACAAGACCTTGGCCTTGGCATTTGAGCTTATGATGTGGGACTTTTCGCCTATGTTCCAGTACATCTAAGCTACGACCTGGTGACACGTGAGTATTTGTTATGGAAAAATGTTTGCTAATTGTTATTATTACTTAATTTGCCTAACCTTTTCCCAGGTTCCACTTGTGTCTACTGGGCTCCCAACTATGAGCGTTGCCTGCTGCGGGAGACGCCCAAGCATGGCAACATAATAGATATCCTAACCGCCTCGCTTATACTGGCCAGCATCTTCTTCGACATCTTTGTCTATGTCTTTGCCAAGGGCTTGAACTTGTACAACTGCAAGGTGACGGATAACAACTACACCCCCAGTCTGTATGCGCCAATTCCGCACGAGGACACAACAACAGTTTCGGGAACTGCTCCCCGAGGCGGTAGTCCTGTTACTACCACGACCACATCTTTGGCGCAGGCCTCGCCTATGCAACGACGGGATGCTCCCCAGGTGTCGGAAGACCATCAAGGAACAATATCGGTTTTCAGGAACCCCAGCTCGGTGACCACCTCGTCGGGCGGAGCTCAGAGCATTGTGGAGCCGATGGCAGTGGTGTTACCTACGCACAGGTTGTGTTCCCACCAGACAGACGCAAGCCGGACGATGGCAGCACCAGTCCCAAACGATTGGCAGTGCCTGCCAATGTCCCCCTGCATCTCCTTTCCGAGTCGGACGTTCGCAGCCAGTTGGGAAATCTGAAGTCCTTCAACGCTCCCAAGCAGGAGGCAGACCGAGGTCAGGATACCGTTGACACCGATCACGACGATCATGTGGTGGTCACCCAGCCACAAGTTCAACCACAAGTTCCGCCGCAGGCATATGTGCTGCCACAGACTCACCATCAGGAAGTAGCTCCTATAAGCTCGGATCTTCCAAGACCAGCAGAAACCCAGCACCAAAGGCTGTCGGATGACACCAGGCCACAAAGCCCAGAAACGGATTTCTGAGGAGGCCACAAAAAGTATTCTAAAGAGTTATACATAGAGTTAAAATAGATTCCTAAGCTTAAGCCAGATTCAATGTGTAAAGATAAATCATTTGAACAAATAAAGTTATTTTTCATTCCATACAAAATCAATGCCATAACTCTGGCAGGGTACTATTATTTTAGTCTGAAGCTTGAAAAGCAGTGAAGGAGTCATTTCGACCCTACAAATCATATATATTCTTGATCAGCATCAAAAGCTGAATCGATTAGCCATGTTTGGTTGAAAAATATTAATTATCCCAATCATAACTAACACAGAACAACTTTCCGAATTGAAATTAATGCGTTTTTGGCTGAGTTATGAATTTTTAAATTTTGATTTGTGGAAAATTTCAATAAAATATTGATAAATCGGTTCAAAAATGGTAATGCACCTTCAGTCAGAAGCTTAAAAATAAGTGAAGGAGCCATTTCCGACCCCATAAACATTATTTCTTGATCAGCATCTACAGGCCTTTCTTTCTAGCTTTATCCGGCCGAAAAAAATTTGTTCAGAAATTTCCCATTTTTCGGAAAAAGGAAAGGGGTTACATCATGAAAATTTGCAAAAATCGGCCAAAATTCACATTTTTAATGTAGTATGCAGTTTTGTTAACCTGCTAAAAATTAGCATACTGCCGCTTTCCGAATTGAAATTAATGCGTTTTTGGCTAGTTATGAGATTTTTAAATTTTGATTTGTGGAAAATTTCAAATAAAATATTGTTAATATCGGTTCAAAAATGGTAATGCACATTCAGTCAGAAGCTTAAAAATAGTGAAGGAGCCATTTCCGACCCCATAATCATATATATTCTTGATCAGCACCTACAGGCCTTTCTTTCTAGCTTTATCCGGACGAAAAAAATTGTTCAGAAATTTCCCATTTTTCGGAAAAAAGGAAAGGGGTTACATCATGAAAATTTGCAAAAATCGGCCAAAATTCACATTTTAAATGTAGTATGCAGTTTTGTTAACCTGCTAAAAATTAGCATACTGCGCTTTCCGAATTGAAATTAATGCGTTTTTGGCTGAGTTATGAGATTTTTAAATTTTGATTTGTGGAAAAATTTCAAATAAAAATATTGTTAATATCGGTTCAAAAATGGTAATGCACCTTCAGTCAGAAGCTAAAAATAAGTGAAGGAGCCATTTCCGACCCCATAAATCATATATATTCTTGATCAGCATCTACAGGCCTTTCTTTCTAGCTTTATCCGGACGAAAAAAATTTTTTCAGAAATTTCCCATTTTTCGGAAAAAAGGAAAGGGGTTACATCATGAAAATTTGCAAAAATCGGCCAAAATTCACATTTTAAATGAAATTAATGAGTATGCAGTTTTGTTAACCTGCTAAAAATTAGCATACTGCCGCTTTCCGAATTGAAATTAATGCGTTTTTGGCTGAGTTATGAGATTTTTAAATTTTGATTGTGGAAAATTTCAAATAAAAATATTGTTAATATCGGTTCAAAAATGGTAATGCACATTCAGTCAGAAGCTAAAAATAGTGAAGGAGCCATTTCCGACCCCATAAATCATATATATTCTTGATCAGCATCTACAGGCCTTTCTTTCTAGCTTTATCCGGACGAAAAAAATTTTTTCAGAAATTTCCCATTTTTCGGAAAAAAGGAAAGGGGTTACATCATGAAAATTTGCAAAAATCGGCCAAAATTCACATTTTAAATGTAGTATGCAGTTTTGTTAACCTGCTAAAAATTACATACTGCGCTTTCCGAATTGAAATTAATGCGTTTTTGGCTGAGTTATGAGATTTTTAAATTTTGATTTGTGGAAAAATTTCAAATAAAAATATTGTTAATATCGTTCAAAAATGGTAATGCACATTCAGTCAGAAGCTTAAAAATAAGTGAAGGAGCCATTTCCGACCCCATAAATCATATATATTCTTGATCAGCATCTACAGGCCTTTCTTTCTAGCTTTATCCGGACGAAAAAAATTGTTCAGAAATTTCCCATTTTTCGGAAAAAAGGAAAGGGGTTACATCATGAAAATTTGCAAAAATCGGCCAAAATTCACATTTTAAATGTAGTATGCAGTTTTGTTAACCTGCTAAAAATTAGCATACTGTCGCTTTCCGAATTGAAATTAATGCGTTTTTGGCTGAGTTATGAGATTTTTAAATTTTGATTTGTGGAAAATTTCAAATAAAAATATTGTTAATATCGGTTCAAAAATGGTAATGCACCTTCAGTCAGAAGCTTAAAAATAAGTGAAGGAGCCATTTCCGACCCCATAATTCATATATATTCTTGATCAGCATCTACAGGCCTTTCTTTCTAGCTTTATCCGGACGAAAAAAATTGTTTCAGAAATTTCCCATTTTTCGGAAAAAATTTCATTTCCGACCCATAAACATTTATTTTTGATCAGCATTACAGCCTTCTTTCTAGCTTATCCGGCCGAAAAAAATGTTTACAGAAATTTCCCATTTTCGAAAAAGGAAATTGATGCGTTTTTGGCTGAGTTATGAAATTTTTAAATTTTGATTTGTGGAAATATTTCATATACAAATATTGATAATATCGGTTCAAAAATGGTAATGCACCTTCAGTCAGAAGCTTAAAAATAAGTGAAGGAGCCATTTCCGACCCCATAAAACATTATTTCTTGATCAGCATCTACAGGCCTTTCTTTCTAGCTTTATCCGGCCGAAAAAAATTTGTTCAGAAATTTCCCATTTTTCGGAAAAAAGGAAAGGGGTTACATCATGAAAATTTGCAAAATCGGCCAAAATTCACATTTTTAATGTAGTATGCAGTTTTGTTAACCTGCTAAAAATTAGCATACTGCCGCTTTCCGAATTGAAATTAATGCGTTTTTGGCTAGTTATGAGATTTTTAAATTTTGATTTGTGGAAAATTTCAAATAAAAATATTGTTAATATCGGTTCAAAAATGGTAATGCACATTCAGTCAGAAGCTTAAAAATAGTGAAGGAGCCATTTCCGACCCCATAATTCATATATATTCTTGATCAGCACCTACAGGCCTTTCTTTCTAGCTTTATCCGGACGAAAAAAATTGTTCAGAAATTTCCCATTTTTCGGAAAAAAGGAAAGGGGTTACATCATGAAAATTTGCAAAAATCGGCCAAAATTCACATTTTAAATGAGTATGCAGTTTTGTTAACCTGCTAAAAATTAGCATACTGTCGCTTTCCGAATTGAAATTAATGCGTTTTTGGCTGAGTTATGAGATTTTTAATTTTGATTTGTGGAAAAATTTCAAATAAAAATATTGTTAATATCGGTTCAAAAATGTAATGCACCTTCAGTCAGAAGCTTAAAAATAAGTGAAGGAGCCATTTCCGACCCATAAATCATATATATTCTTGATCAGCATCTACAGGCCTTTCTTTCTAGCTTTATCCGGACGAAAAAAATTTTTTCAGAAATTTTCCATTTTTCGGAAAAAAGGAAAGGGGTTACATCATGAAAATTTGCAAAAATCGGCCAAAATTCACATTTAAATGTAAATCACATTTTAATGTAGTATGCAGTTTTGTTAACCTGCTAAAAATTACATACTGCCGCTTTCCGAATTGAAATTAATGCGTTTTTGGCTGAGTTATGAGATTTTTAAATTTTGATATGTGGAAAATTTTCAAATAAAAATATTGTTAATATCGGTTCAAAAATGGTAATGCACATTCAGTCAGAAGCTTAAAAATAGTGAAGGAGCCATTTCCGACCCCATAAATCATATATATTCTTGATCAGCATCTACAGGCCTTTCTTTCTAGCTTATCCGGCGAAAAAAATTTTTTCAGAAATTTCCCATTTTTCGGAAAAAAGGAAAGGGGTTACATCATGAAAATTTGCAAAAATCGGCCAAAATTCAAATTTTAATGTAGTATGCAGTTTTGTTAACCTGCTAAAAATTAGCATACTGTCGCTTTCCGAATTGAAATTAATGCGTTTTTGGCTGAGTTATGAGATTTTTAAATTTTGATATGTGGAAAAATTTCAAATAAAAATATTGTTAATATCGGTTCAAAAATGGTAATGCACATTCAGTCAGAAGCTTAAAAATAAGTGAAGGAGCCATTTCCGACCCCATAAATCATATATATTCTTGATCAGCATCTACAGGCCTTTCTTTCTAGCTTTATCCGGACGAAAAAAAATTTTCAGAAATTTCCCATTTTTCGGAAAAAAGGAAAGGGGTTACATCATGAAAATTTGCAAAAATCGGCCAAAATTCACATTTTAAATGTAGTATGCAGTTTTGTTAACCTGCTAAAAATTAGCATACTGTCGCTTTCCGAATTGAAATTAATGCGTTTTTGGCTGAGTTATGAGATTTTTAAATTTTGATTTGTGGAAAAATTTCAAATAAAAATATTGTTAATATCGGTTCAAAAATGGTAATGCACATTCAGTCAGAAGCTTAAAAATAAGTGAAGGAGCCATTTCCGACCCCATAAATCATATATATTCTTGATCAGCATCTACAGGCCTTTCTTTCTAGCTTTATCCGGACGAAAAAAATTGTTTCAGAAATTTCCCATTTTTCGGAAAAAGGAAAGGGGTTACATCATGAAAATTTGCAAAATCGGCCAAAATTCACATTTTAAATGTAGTATGCAGTTTTGTTAACCTGCTAAAAATTAGCATACTGTCGCTTTCCGAATTGAAATTAATGCGTTTTTGGCTGAGTTATGAGATTTTTAAATTTTGATTTGTGGAAAAATTTCAAATAAAAATATTGTTAATATCGGTTCAAAAATGGTAATGCACCTTCAGTCAGAAGCTTAAAAATAAGTGAAGGAGCCATTTCCGACCCATAATTCATATATATTCTTGATCAGCATCTACAGGCCTTTCTTTCTAGCTTTATCCGGACGAAAAAAATTGTTTCAGAAATTTCCCATTTTTCGGAAAAAATTTCCATTTCCGATCCCATAAAACATTTATTTCTTGATCAGCATCTACAGGCTTCTTTCTAGCTTTACCGCGAAAAAAATTTTACAAAATTTCCATTTTTCGGAAAAAAGGAAATGATGCGTTTTTGGCTGAGCTATGAGATTTTTAAATTTGATTTGTGGAAAAATTTCAAATAAAAATATTGTTAAT